CTTGCCTATCTATCTCTCCTGTGCGATTGAGGGAGATTGGTAAAGCAAGCTGTGACATGGCAGCAGCAGCAGAACTGGAAAATGAAGCAGGAAACAGCCAGGTCCTTGTGGGCCAGATTGGGACCCTCCGAGGCCTTATCCACATGGTTGACACCCCTGCTATATCCTTTTAAAATTGCAGCCAAGAGAAAAAAGAGACACGAGGCTTCTTTCAATAAGGGGGAAATAGAAATCACAATAACTCAGTAAGTTAGACTCCCCCCCGGCCCGGTTGGAGTCATTTATAGTCCAGTAATAAAATCTATCACAGAGTCTGTGATTTAATACTAATTAAAATCCTATCAGCAAACACAGCCCTCTGGATATTTCTGGTTTAAATCTATAGTTGCTGGGGAAAAATCAGAGTTAAATATGGCGGCTATGGTTTGCAACTCTGTGTGGTCATCAGTCTCTAATCACCATTCAGAAGTTAAATCCAATATTATTAGAATAAATTGTGCTTTTGTTTCACCCCAGTAAAGATTAACAGCTTCACAAATGCTTGCAGCAAATTACAGAAAGAGAAAACTTCTCCTTCAGCTAAACATATTCCTTTTAGCTGGCACACTTCCTGGTTTTCAAAAACAGATAAAAAGTGAGTTGAAAGGGGAGAAAATTAAAGTCTCTTGATCTACTTAATTGCTTAATTTTTCTATCATGTCCTCTTGTTGAAATACAATGAAACAGTAAATACTAAACACAAATATCGGGGAAAACAGAAAAAAGGTAAATGCAGAGATAGAAGGTAGGACTGCTCTTGATAACCTTATCTCATCCTGACTGTCTTGATATTCACAGAAACTGACCTGAACATAAATCCAGGAAGTTCCACAGGTCAACTGGCCTCCTGATGGGACCTTGGTATAAGCGCCTTGGTGAGAGGAGATGCCGGAGCAGAAAAACAGTCCAGCCAATGAGCAGCCATTCCACCCTGAAGTAGTATTAAACCTTCTTGAAACATAATTGGTGTATTTGTATTATTTTGAAATTGCGTAAATATACATAATACAACTGTTACAAGAGGTTTAAAAAATTGCAAAGGCTAACTTGGGAAAGTTAGGCCCTTCATGGGGGATCTCTGTTACCATTGCCTAGGCTAGTATGTTCTATCTAGTCATTTTTATCCTGGTCTTCCTTCATGGAGCAGGATAAAACATATTGGGTGTGGTCAGATGGCGTGCTGGGAGCAGTTTAAATTGCTCCAGGCCCAAAGCTTTTTTTTTTAACCTGGAGAATTGCGATCACACTCACCTCCTTGTTCCGGATCGCTGCACAGCCACATCGCTCTCTGCTGTCCACATGTGGGAGCGTGCGTCAGTGGGGGGGTTTTCCTCTCAGTTTGGGCATGCGCACAGGCGGCCATCTGTAGAATTAAAATTTTCGCACATGCGCAGAACAGCAATTTCCACTTCAACCCAACTGCTGTAACACTTCCCTTTAAACTTTTACCCCGAAACTGGCCTCTGTGAGATCCCAAACTCGTCTAACCAACAAAACTAGGCACCGTTTAAACATTGTTTTTAATAACGCAGGAGCGGAGCTCCGCCTGTGCGCATACCGCCGACGCTAAAATAAAATGGCGGGCGAAGGGCGGAAGCCTCGGGCTTCCGAGCAGAAGTGGCTCGACACCGCAGGAGCGATCAGACGTCAGAACAGTGCGGCTAGAACCGGAGAATCAGGAAAACACCACTTGGGAACCTGGTAACAAAATACTCCATTTTAAATGGGGTTTGTGCCGGAAAGCAACAGCTGGGGACAGTGCGCAGATGTTGGATGTGTGAACGTGGATATAAAATCAGTTACTGAAGCATGCCGAAAGAAGACTAAATGTTCAGATGGGTCTGAACGCACCCATTGTTTAGTGCCTGATACTCTTAAAAACTAGAATGCTAACAATGCTTCAACAAATGCTGGGGGATCGGGGGGGGGGTGTTTGGAGAAGGTGGCGTTTGGGGAGAATGTGGTGTCATCTCTAGGCAATGCTCTAGGCTGCCTCCCCCATCTTTGATCTTTACCATAGAAACCAGAGGAATTTTCTAGAGCGGTCACTATGTGAAGGCCATTTTTCTCTCCTTCCTCATAACCTTGGGAGTGAAAAGTTGTTTCTATAGTGAGGCTGGAGATTCCATTTGCTCCTTATAGTACTTCAGAATGGAAAGTGTTTGGTTTCTTTCCTCTTTCTCTCTTTTCTTTTCCCTTCCTCCCCCAATCCTTGTATGAATAGCATACCTTGAATAACGCTTTGAAATAAACATGGAAAGCAATTTATTTGCCTAGCTGTCAGTGTGTACAATTAGCTGGAGAGTTCCTCTGTGCTCTTTACATGGCTTACAGCTCTGCCAGCTGGGAGCTTAGCTTAAACATTTCAACATTTTGGAAGCAAGCAGGGTTCCATTAGAGCAAACAGTGAATAGAAATGAAGCGAGGAGGTTGGAATGTTTATGGTTTCTGCGACACAGAAGTAGCTAATGATATAAACACAGGTTTCTGTTTTAAACCTGATGTGTTTTATTAATGAGCAGCTGGTTGCTTTTTCCCCCCTTTTTCTCTCTGAGCAGGATAGGATTGAATATTGCTAAGCCGGCGTAGAAATTAAAGGAGTATAATTAGCCCTGTGTGGAGTTCGGGTTTTGGTAACCTTCAGTAATGACATCCTTTTCTTGCTAACTGCCCCCTTCCCCAAAAAATGTTCAGATGAAGATATTCAGATTGGGCCAGGAAAGTGTTTAGTTTTCATGAGGTGTGGTGGTTGTCTTGTGATGGTTTGTTTTGTTTGCTATTGCTCGGCCAGAGTTCTTCACAGTAGTCCTTCTTCATAAAGTGGTGACATGCATGTGAAAGGCTGGAGGGTGGGGTGGAATGGGAAAAAGTCTACACATGGTATGGTGATCATCCCCAAAAGTCCTGCCTCTCCTCCAGGGCTTTAAACCAATCCTTGGCCCCGGTCACACGGGCAGGAAACTGCAGAGGAGAAGCGTGGCTGTTTGCCCTGGGGCAAACTACTGCGCAGTTACGTGATCAGACCTCCTGTGGAGGTCCTGTGGAGGTACCGTGGAGGTTCCATGGCAAGGGAGAGGTGCCGATCACAGGACAAGCCGGCGCACAACGAAGAAGCGCGCGTCGCGGCAAACTGTTTTTTATTTTTGTGTACATGACAAATGCGCATGCGCATCCACAGAGACTTGGACAAAAAAACCCCACCTTATTTGCAAGGGGACATGGGCGGGCGCCGGATGCCACCGGAAACGCGATCAGACGCCCGCCTTTGCCCCGCAGTTTCCGGAAACTAGTATCTCCAAGGTACTAGTTTTTTGCCACGCAGTTTCGGCTGGAAGCCTCGGTTGAGCCACGGGAGTGCTACGCTTCCCAGATGTGCTGGTGAGATCGCGCCCGGAAACTCCGGCTGTTTTCTGTCTCACTTGTGTGGCTTCTGTTACGTGTGACCGCAGCCCTTGTTAATTTGACCACATACAAATCCAAGTGATTGTTAGGCGATCACTTGACCCCTCTGGGCAAATGCACTACACAGTCTGTTTTATATGGAAATTGAGAGGTAGTTAGAGAAGTCTGTCTAGGGTCACTCAAGGCAGCAAACATGGTCTTAGTCTGAACAACTCATGCATGCAATTTGGGGGAGAGTGGTGAGAGGGACAGCTGAGCATACAATTTAGCCTCTGCAGCAAAATTTATCTCTGATCTCTTTGATGCTTAAAGACTGAGTGGAAGAGATCTGGGCAGATTTCTTAGGCAGTTGTGGCATATCTTGAATGCCAGCATCACACTCCCTGTGAAGTAGCAGGCACTTTGCACCTCTCCATTTTGTATACAAGATTTCTTGCTTGGTGAACTGGCTGTAAAAAGTACAGTTGGGAAATCCCTGGTCTGTTGCCATTAGTCCTTTTGCCTGATTAAGCTTCGTCACAGAAAAACCCTTTGGAAAAGTTCACACGGCTGAAACTGTGGGTTGCTATTTTTAAGAAGCTTTCTAAAAGGTGCAGTGCCCCAGGGTGGAACACAGTCACAGACTTAGGTATGCCATTCTCCAGGCAAATGCTTGTACCAGAACAACAACACGGTTGAATGCAGGTACTTACCTGTAATTTATAGTAATCTTGGAAAATATTTGAACTTATTTTCCCTGTACTTTCCTGATTGCATAATGGCAGGTGGTGGCTTGCTTTGATTTGTTTTGTTTTGAAGTGAATACTAGATTAGTTGAATCACTTCTGTGCTCACAACTGTATTTGCCTAAGATAACATGCCTGTAGCATGTGTTATGGAGTGGGAGTGAAAGGTCCTCCAGAGTAATTTTCTTAAATTTGGGGGTGATTTTTGGCCCAGGTTTCACTTTGGTTTTCCCCACTGTCCTTACATCGTTGTTATTTGGTCTGAAATTCTTGAATCTACTTTCAAAATATTTCTATAACTTTTGCCCACATAGGTGAGTGCCACAGTGTGTGTGTGTGTGTCCAGACCATATGGGTTGAGTCCCACAAAAGTTAGACATTTTAGTGAATTGCTTTGGGGGGGAAAGATACTGGGAGAGGTTATGATATTTAATGTCTAATTTGCAGCTAAATTATATAATTTTCAAGGTTATGAGAAGAAACTTAAAGTAGGCAAAAGTACCTGTTGGGTGTTAGCAATACCTATACAGCCCTGTTTATTGTCAATCCTTATGCTTTCAGTAAACACAAGGACATAATGAGGAAAAAAGGATTATGAATTATATAATTCTGCACAAATTAAAGGAGGAAATTACTTGCATATCAGTCTGAACTGCTTTAAAAAAAAAAACACACACAACACAAACCTCCCCAGGTTTCATACTGTTGGCAGCTGGGAGCCAAAAGGAAAGAAGGGTTAAGATACAGAGGCTTCCATACTTCTGGGAACCCTTCTATGACTGGATTTTGAATGCAGCTGTGGATTTAAAATTGACATGATTTCTTTCATTGCAGCCCTAGACATTAATCGAGAACAGAATGGGGAAGCAGAACAGTAAGCTGAGACCTGAAGTACTCCAGGATCTTCGAGAAAATACTGAATTCACAGACCACGAGCTCCAAGAATGGTACAAAGGTTTCCTAAAAGATTGCCCAACTGGCCACTTGACTGTTGACGAGTTCAAAAAGATATACGCTAACTTCTTCCCCTATGGCGATGCCTCGAAATTTGCCGAGCATGTGTTCCGCACTTTCGATACCAATGGAGATGGGACGATTGATTTCCGGGAATTTATAATAGCACTGAGTGTCACTTCACGGGGAAAGCTTGAACAGAAGTTGAAATGGGCATTTAGCATGTATGACCTCGATGGCAATGGCTACATCAGCCGAGCAGAAATGCTTGAGATAGTACAGGTAAGTTAATTGCCATGCTGTGTGAAGATCTAGCCCAGCCCAATTCCTTTTAATTCCTTCAACAGACAGGTTGCTGCCCTTTGCAGCTGCTCTCTAAAATCAGTGTCATCTTATTTAGATCCCCCCTTTTTGTTGGCTCTGTGGAGCTGCCTACAGCTGATTTGGGAGAAGGCAGAACATTTGGAAGCTTGTGGACAGCAAGACCTTGTGCTTGCAGAAAACAAGAGTTTCTTGTGCAAGCACAAACTTATCTTTGCTTGATAGCCTGCCACTGCTAATTCATAGTAGACTCTGCTGAGATAAATGGAGCAATGGCATGATTCTGTATAAAGCAATTCTGTATGCTAATATATGAATATGCATCTGTGTACTGAACACTCAGAAATCCAACATACCTCTTAACTGACTTCACAGTCTATAGCAGTTTGTATCACTGGGCATTAGCGGTATGCATTTCAAGATCCCAAGTGTATCCGGGTTTTCTTGGGAAAACAGAAAAAAATCCCAGATATATTCAGAAATCACTGGGTAGATCCAAAAACAGCAGAGAGAGTACATGATTACAACGGCCAGAATGATTTATGCTCAATGTTGGAAGCAGGATATGCAGACAAAATGACAAGGAAGCTTAACAATTTGGAAGCAGAAGATTTTTTTACAGACTGGAAAGATTTTAAGGACTATTTAGAAAAGAACTGGGATGTAAGGGATGGTTTATTTAGCTTTGACAATTACTAATTGTTAATAGATATTAAAAATTAGATTAAGATGTAATACCAAATTATAGAAGGGTAAGTTACCTATAGATGTGTGTAAGGAAAAAGAAAGGAGGAGGTGAACTTGATTTAAGAATTGTGCAGGAGGTTGGAGCACTGTGGGAAGCCGAATGGGGGGTGGAGGGAGGAGGGTAGGATGTAGTGGTTTAAAAGTGTGTGAAGTATATTTGATTATGTTTATTATATCCTAATAAAATGTTTTTTAAAAAAAATAGCAGAGAGGCAGGAGCAAGCTGTTTGTTGGGCTTTTGCTGCAGTCTCTTTAAAGTTTAAAGGGGCTGCAGAAGACAGCCTGAGGATCAGCTGTGGTGGGGAAGCAAAGTGTTCCCCCGGCTGGCCTTGGGCTGGCTTCTCATGCAGCCCGGTATAGAAGAAGCCAGCCCAGCCAGGATATACATGCCGTGAGGAGCAGATTGCTCCCCGTGGCACAGCATACTCTGGAGCTGGCTTCTCCTGCAGCCCGATTTAAACTGGACTGCAGGAGAAGCCATCCCAGCCAGGATCTGTGTGCCACGGGACACCATCTCCCCGTGGCACAGCAGATCATGGGGCTGGCTTATCCTGCAGCCCCCGACTGGTATTTTTCTTCTTGGATCTATTGGACCTGAAAAAATTCAGGATTTCCAAAAAATCCTGGATCCGAATAACATACCAGTATTGGGATCCGGGATTTTTTTGGAAATCTCTTCTTTGTTTCAGGTCTAATAGACCCAAACCAAGAAATACTGGTTTTAAAAAAATGCCCACCCCTGTTAAGCATAACAAATACAAACAAGTGCAAGCAGTATGATAGGAACACATGACACATAAACTACAGTGCCTGTCTTCATGCTTGAAAGTGCTAGACTTGTTAAACGTTGAGCCAAAGAAAAGGAGAGGTTCTTAAGTGACACGCCAACAGAAGCAGAACCAAGATCTAGTACTTACAAAAGGCAGAGTAATTACAAACCATATCTGGAAAATGTAATGCCAGAAAGAACAACATCATGGAATAATCAAAGGCAGAATAAATTACCATAAACATATACAAAATGGCAAGAGGTACAGATTAATGATCTTTCTACAATTAAGCATATGAAAGTTCTAAGGAACAGTATGATCATATAGAAATAGTAAGACAGTTCCATAAGTACTAGGTCTTGGCTTGGCTTTTGTTGTCTTTTTAAAAGTTGGAACAATCCCTAGAAGTATGGGATAAGCTGGCAAATATTTTACTTTCCATAACTTGTTATGTAAGCATCCACTATGTCAGTCTTGTTAGCAGTAGACTTACAATTCCCATAATGTCGTACGACAGATTTCCTCCTATTCTGCTTCCTTTACAGGCCATCTACAAAATGGTGTCTTCAGTAATGAAAATGCCAGAGGATGAATCTACTCCAGAGAAACGAACAGACAAAATCTTCAGACAGATGGACACAAACAATGATGGTATGATTTCTGCATGTAGACCTCTTGTCTCTGCATCTCTTAATGTGCGAGTTTTCACAGCTCCTTAAATCTAGGATCTAGAAATCCACATGGTCAGAATCTTTGCCAGATACAGAATCCTGAGAAATCTGACTTTGCTCACTTTATTTAAAACAAAACTCTCAAAGTTCTAGATGTCCACAGATGTAGAAGAACCCGACCCACTGAAGGCAGCAGTTGAGAAATACATTTATTTCCTTTCCATGTCTTTCACACTTGCATGGCACATCTCTCTCCCCATCAATATCCCATTCACACCTTGTTTCCAATGCTCCATCCTCTGCCAAGCAATATAAAATCTTATGTTAAATAACTTTTACTACGGGAATCAGGAAAGAATTATCATATGTTTTTGGGTTTGCCATATTTTGAGACTTTTTGCTACTGCCTCTTGCAGATGTATCAGTTCAAGTATTCTGTGAAACACAGTGTAACATGCTGGAGATCGTCAGCTGTGTTGCTTGAACTGAACCTAATTCAGGATCAAGCTAGATGCTACATGTGAGATCAATAATCAACCCCCTCATGCTTATTTTTATTGGAAGCATCTGTAGAAGGCTCCAGATTTCTTTGAAACAGCAGATCTGAGGACTCTTCTCCCTGCACTATTTCCCCAATATAAATGGCTTTCCTTCTTACCTGTTTGCAACATTTTGGGTGGTGATTTAGAGGGGTATGTGAAGACTTGAACTCTGTCTCTACGGTTTTAAGTCAGATTCAGAGGCCCATGCAGTTGCTTTTTAGATAAAGAAAGTAAACATTTGGAAATATGAATACAGGTCTCCTGTGTGGCTTGACCCCTTCTCTCAGCATGCACACAAAAGCGTATACCCAGAATTAAAATTTTGTTGGTCTTAAAGATGCCACTGGACTCAAACGATGTTCTGTGGGACCTCATAAGAACATAAGAAGAGCCCTGCTGGATCAGACCAGTGGTGCATCTAGCTGAGCATCACATAGTGGCTAGCCAGTTCCTCTGGATGGCCAACAACAGGGCACAGAGGCTGAGGACTTCCCCTGATGTTGCCTCCTGGCTCTGGGATTCAGAGGCTTAGCGCCTCTGAATGTGGAGGGTCCCCTCAGTCACCATGGCTAGTAGCCGTTGATAAATCTATCCTCCATGAATCTACCTAATCCCCTTTTAAAGCTGTTTATTCCTGTGATAAGAACATAAGGTGATAAGAATGTAAGAAGTAATTTTTTTTTCATAAAAGATTTTTATTAAGTTTCCACAAACATATAAACAAGACAAAACACACTAGACAAAAACAAACACAGTACATAAACAGGAGCACGTCTGACAGCTTAAATCTATCTTCTAAATATTCGCTGTATAAAATAGTTTTGTGCACTTAATCTCTTCTTGAATTTGTATAAACACTTCTAAGTTTTTATGTATGTATGCCTCAACGTGGACCTTTGGAGAAGCTATAAGGGGTTTGGAGAGTTTGAAAGTTGCAGCATTTTAATTGGCAAAAGTGCCTTCTGTTGCTGGAAAATGTAGGATCCAAGCCAGAATCTTGTCACTCTGACTAAAATCTCCTCTGCTGAGTACTTTTGCAGTTAAGTGTGCTGCTGCCTGACCTCTATAATATATATTCTTTCACCAAAGTAGGGTCTAACTGTGCCTAGAAACCCCTGTATCTGCACATGGGGCTTTTGAACCTCACACACACCTCTACAGATCAGTAATGTTTCTTGATCTTCTAGGCATTTAGAACACACACAAAAGGTATTTTAATGATGAACACAGATAAAAGCATAATACATGCTATTTAGAAAAGAAACAAAAAAAGACAAAAAGAAAATTACTCTGAGTTCACATTAATTATAGTTTGCTGAACTGGCACTTGAAACTTCAAAATCTACTAGACCAAGAATCAATATCCATATTCTTGCAACTGGATCCATGGCCATGATGAACATCATTTTGCCTGGGAGGCTGACTTCTAATGCTGTCTTCTGGGAAAAGTCTTTCAAAATAATGCTTTTTTGAATTCTATCAGGTGCAGGGCTTAGAGTTAGTTTAATATTTGAGACCAGTAATAGGGGAAACTAGTTCTCCCTCTGAGGCGGAGGACATCTTGTGGGTGATTCCCACTGTCCTATCAGGGAGACAGGAACTAATTTTCTTCCTCTTCCTGCTTGTTGAGGGAGTCACCCTTTCCTCAGTTCTATTCCTGCCTCAACAGGGAGAGAAGCTCCATAGCAGGCTCAGCCCTTCTATTCGGCTCTTTTAGGCTTTTCCTCTTACCTCTTCCTCATTTTCCCTTCCCTTCCCTCCTTTATTCTTCCTTTCATCTATTCCTTCTACTTGTGGAGTTCTATTCATCCGTGGAAGGTTCTCTGCTGCCGCCAGCCTCTCGGCCACAAAAACATTTGAAACAGCCACGGCTATCCGGACAGTTTCCTCTCAGAAGGAGCATGACTGTCCCAGAGCCGGCATGCCTTCTGGGCTTGCATGAGCTACTGATGATGACAACCACAGCAGTGGGGGGAAAGTGTGCAAAAAAGGGCCACCTTCTCACCTGGCAATCTGTGCTCCGCTCCTGCTTCTCAGCAGAGAGCAGCAGCCAACTTGAGATGCCAGTTTTGGTGGACAGAGTTCCTATACAAGCTTCCAGCCCCCGTACCAACTCCAAAGAGACTTTTGCCAATCTCTAGCTGGGAGAAATGCTGGCCTGGATGAATCACAAGCGGGAATTAAGATTGCTGGGGAAAAGATCAACAACCTCAGATATGCAGACGATACCACTCTAATGGCAGAAAGTGAAGAGGACCTTAAGAGCCTCTTGCTCAGGGAGAAAAAAAGGAGAGCGCAAAAGTGGGCTTGAAGCTCAACATCAAAAAAACTAAGATCATGGCATCCGGCCCCATCACTCCTTGGCAAATAGAAGGGGAAGTCGTGTAAGTAGTGACAGACTTCTCGTTCCTAGGATCCCAGATCACCGCAGACTGTGACAGCAGTCATGAAATTAAAAGACGCCTGCTCCTTGGGAGGAAAGCGATGGCGAACCTAAACAGCATGATAAAAAGTAGAGACATCACCCTGCCAACAAAAGTCCGCATGGTCAAAACAATGGTATTCCCAGTAGTCATGTATGGCTGCGAGAGCTGGACTATAGGGAAGGCCGAGCACCGAAGAATAGATTCTTTTGAACTATGGTGCTGGAGAAGACTCTTGAGAGTCCCTTGGACTGCAAGAAGATCAAATCAGTCAATCCTAAAAGTAATCAACCCTGACTGTTCCCTGGAAGGCCAGATAATGAAACTGAAGCTCAAATACTTTGGCCACCAAATGAGAAGGGAGCACTCATTGGAGAAGACCCTGTTGCTGGGAAAGATTGAAGGTCAAAGAAGACGGGGACAGCAAAGGATGAGATGGTTAGTGTCATCAATGCAACGAACATGAAATTGAGCCAACTTCAGAGGACGGCAGAAGACAGGAAGGCCTGGCGTGATCTGGTCCATGGGGTTGTGAAGAGTCGGACTCAACTGTGCGACTGAACAACAATAACAAAAGCTGGGAGAACCAGGAGTAGAGCTGCCTTTTTCGGGTCAAGCCTCTGCAATCCAGTTGGACATCGCTCTTCAGGTGGATGTACCTGGCTCCAGGGTGATGGGCATTTCCTCAGCAATTATGAATATGTTTAGACTACCTATGAGGAGGAGATGTATGGTTTCTGTCACAAAGAAGGCTTAGTCTCTTACAGGGTCCAGTCCAATTCTTCCTCTCCCCGCCACTCCCAGGCTGGATGTTGCTTCCCACAATAGGGGCACTGAGTGAACAGCCAAAGCTGCCCAGAAACAAACTTCTGGTGGAAAGAGGAGTAGGGAGGCTCACTGGGAGAGGCATCGTTCCTCTGATACTGAAACAGAGGACAGGGAGGAGCAGGGATTTTTTTTTCTCGGACGAAGAAGACGAAGGGATCAGTGTGCCAGAACAGTCTGCGTGTTTTTAAGCCAGAAGACCCTGTAAACACTGGAACTCCAAGACTCCCCTCTGATCAAAGTCAAAGTCAAAATCTAGACTCAGGGGGAACAAGGAATTCTTCCCCAGATTTAATCCATCAGAGAGGGTACTCCCTCTCCCTGAATTTTTTGAAAGACACCTTAAGGCAGAATGGGCAAAGCCAATCACCAATTGCCGATTTCCTAATTTTGTTAAGGAACTCTATGCATTGCCATTATGTGCAAATGAGATTTTACAAGTTCCCCTAGTGGATGCCCTGGTTTTTTGCCCTTCAGTCATATGGTCTTCTCTCTGAAGATGGCCAGGAGTCACTCAGAGACAACTTTGACAAAAGAGCAGAAACAGCTCTGAAGAAGACATGTGAGGCTATCGCCATGGCTATCAAAGCCTCAGTCACAGCCTCCATTGTCTCCAGGACAGCCATCGTATGGATTAGGAAACAGATTCAACTATTTCCACAAAACAGCAGGAGACTCTTAGAGGGGGCTAACAGAATTTTTGAAAGCCAATGCCTTTACAATGGAAGCTACCTTTGTTATCATGATCTTCTCATCAAGAGCATTGGCCACAGCAGCAGCCGCAAAGAGGGTGCTCTGGCTGCAAGCATGGCAAGCAGACCTCCACTCCAAAAATATCGTTACAGCCTATCACTTCCAGGGTTGATAGACTGTTCGGAGATGCCCTTGACAAAATACTGACTGAGACCAGAGACCAGAAGAAGGCAATGCCTAAGATGCTCAGATGTGCCAGTAGGAGATCTTTTGGTAATTTTTCTTTTTGCTCCCAACATACACTTTCCAGACTTAAACAAGACTCCGAAAGAGCCAACCAGGGATCCTTCAGACAAACATTCAAAAGGGGATCATTCAGTCCAAGATTTCCCAAGCAATCAACTGCCAGACCAGAAAGATCAGACCGTGAGGGTAAATCCCCAAAGGCATGATGGTCAAAGTAGTCCGGGGGG